ATCTTAATTAAGTTTTAGTAAGTATAGTATATTTTATGTAGAATGTGACAATAAATAGGTGTTTATTGCATGAGAACTTCAAATAATTTACAAAAATCTTGTCACACATCAATTGAAAGACCCTGTATATTAAACATGTTATTACTTATTAGATCGTAGACTAAAAATAAATTACTATTCCAATTTGTGTAATCATAGGTAATATATTATATAATCATTGAATCGTAATAAATTATAGTTAATTAACGATGCATGAAGGTTGTGTTTTTTTATACCGACGATATTTAATAAAATTCATATTAAATGTATGTGGGCTTGTTAGCGGCGAGTAACCCTTAAAATATTAAATAAATAACTGATTTGGTGTTATGTTACCGAGAAAATTTATAATATTATATTATTATTATTTATTATTATAATACAATTTAAATTTTTAGAGTTTTGGGAATTGGGCCAAGGTTTAAATTATATTTTTTCTAAGACTTAAAACTGTATATTATTATGTTTTGAACTTTTGAACGTGTAATAAAGATGTTAAAAAACTTGTTTGAGATATGTACGACGCAGAATTTTGCCCGGATCGTTTTTATGAAGAAATGTAAATGTCGATAAAAGTTAATCGATTTTTTTGCCATCACATTTCGGAATCCGATATTTCGTCGGTGTCACAGAGAATATTATTATGTGTCATACACTATAAATAAAAAAAAATAGGTGCGTTCAAAACTATTATAGCTGTACTAAATAATATGATAATCCGCAAGAGAAGTATAATATTATAATACCTGCAGCGTATAGCGGCGGTGACGTGGTATATATTTCATTTTTATTTGCTTGGAAATATAACTAATAACCGTTCGTTGTTTTATAATGAAAACTAAAATTTAGAGTCCTAATTATTGTACTGAATTAGATAAAAAAAAAAAAATACGTATATTATATACCTGCCTGGATTATGAGCTTACTGTCTAAATTAGTTTTTTTATGTTTATATGATATCCCCGCACATAGCTCGTACAAACATCCTCTATACACGTGTACCTACGATGTTTACAGTGTATATTATCCCTTTTTGTCATTCATATGACTATTTTATTCTTCATTTAACTGTAGCTCTGTAAAATAATTGTTTTAATTTATTTCTAACTCTATATATAATATCATATATAACGAACATAATACATTTTAAATTTTAATATTATTGTCGAAATAGTATTGTAGCTGTTAAACTGGCCATCGACCAACATTTCAGTAAAAATAAAAATAAAATACAATACCTAAATATATAATAACGAATTCGCGGTATGTAGGATGTTTTAATGGGTGTATTATTATTATCTATCGTTTGAAAGCAATATTAAGTTGCAGGCGCCCAAAAATATTTTATTACGGTTACTTGTCATTGCTGTTCGTGATAAAATATTAAAATATATTATAACCATTAACCAGGAATAGGATTTTATAGCACTTCAAATTTTATAAACAATAAACATGCTTGATAATATATAAGGCCATAAATATCGTGATATGCCATAAAAATGACAATATGTTCACAAAAAAACTGTCGACTGACGAGTGTTGACTGAAAGTTTGAGAGTCTTGTAATTTGTGACAAAAAGTTAAGAAGTGGACTGTAAAATACGATATGGGTTTTATATATACATACCTATACTTAAAAATAGGTTAAAAATTACTTTATGTGTAATATTATATAGTTGATTAAGATGAAAATAAAATTGCACTTTCACATAGGTGATATATAAATTAAATATAAAACAATAAAATCATAAAAAAATACCAATGCGTTTTTTTTTCATAAAAATATTTAAAAAATAATTCTATAGTTTACTCAGACATGTGGGGCTAAACAGAAATATAAGCAAGTATTGTATGTGTTTCATTTTCTAGAAAATCTCGATAGTGGCGGTAAGACTGAAGAAAAATATACAACCTGGCAGTATTTTATCATATTATTAGTACTTATACAGATTATGTTTTTATTCGCTTGCGTGTGGCATGCGGCGTGCCTGATGATATTTTTTTGCTAATCATTTCTACGTACCTTTATATAATATATTATACATATGTATATGGTGAAAAAGTCACTTGAAAATCGTTAAGTATTTTGGTTAACCCAAACTTGAAATGAAAAAAAGTTGCCAATTGTTATTATATGCAGATGATGTGTCATGTGTGTGAATATTTTTAACGTCGAATAACTTATTTACGATGATTATTTAAGTATTAAAGTTTATAATATTATGGTACATTGCCCGTTGGGGGTACCCATATGCACACTATAATCCTCTGTGTAGAAATGAATATACCATGTGGGCTGGGGAAATTACGATGAGACACCCTGTACAGTGTGTGTGAGACTGTGTTTATACATTTACCCGACTCGGTCATTTTGTATTTATGTATACGAGTATACGCGGAAACGTGCCGCTTAAATCCGCGTGGGACGTGGAAAGAAGGAAAAAATATATTTTATTCTCTGCAGTTTCCCCGAGAACTGGCGATTTGCTGCAGCGCGGCACAGCAGTCGGTGGGTATATTATGTTTAATATGTACACGTCACACGCACATGTAGGTATGTATTGTATGTGTGTGTGTGTGTGTGTGTGTGTGTGTGTGTGTGTGTGTGTGTGTGCAGTTTACTGCCGCTCCCGGGCGTGGCGCGTGTATATACTTTGAAAGGGGTGGTTTGCAAATAAAATGTGCATTAGAAATCGCGACGTCCGAAACATAATATTATACATTATTAGTGTTATTATTTTCAATCAACTGTATAATAATAGAAATATATTATAGTAGGTATATTATCGCGTTTCGATCGATTATTCCGATCCGTTTTCGCGTATAAAGTTATACGACATAAAATATGTTATTAAAATATATAATAATATTGTCTTCTAGTGCGTATACGAAATATGAACCTATTTAAGGTTAATATATATATAGGCTGAGATTACCGTGTTTACCAGTTTGAAAACGGCGGATTGCCCGTCTGTTTATTATGTGCACACAGTACACTGTATAGTACTGTGTACATGTACAACAAGAATTTAAAAGTTTTAATCGGCAGAAAGACCGGATAGCATGGCCAAATATTTCTTCTTGTAATCTTGTGATAAGAAATAAATAGAATTAGCATTTTATATATTATTCAAAAATGTAATATACTGCAAACACAATGCGCTAACCTTGTGGTAGGTTTTTTTTTTTTGAAAAATTTAAACTTTTTTGCGTTTTTAAATTATCGATTTTATAATATTATCAATTAATTTTGTTCAGTATATTCTCCTTATAAACATATATTTTAATTTCGTATTTAGTAGTAAAATATTTTTCTGATTATATTGAGTATATTATGATGAGAACAAAATAATTTTATCATTATTGTATACAGCAGCTGAATGCAGCATAAGTGTGTCATCTCTAGTTTTACTCTGCACTGATGAATTTTTATATTATCTGAAAATGAAATTACGCTTTTTTTTTCTTCATAAACCCTGCAACTGGAACGCACACTGTTAATGTCAGTAGAGCAAAGCTGATTGACGAGAAAAAGTTTCGAGGCGTTCCGAGTGCGCTGCGACGACGTTGTCTGTCTGAATTGGGATCGCAAAGTTTATTCCGTGACACACAGCACTCGCTTTTCCCGTTTTCAATGGCACTAATAATAATCATAATAATTTATACGCGCTCGTGTATAGCGCTTAACGATGACAATAAATATGCATAAATAACAATATTCGTATACGCCCGTGTGTGCTTGTGTGCTTACATATGTGCCAAACTATACGAGTGCGTGTACCTACGAGTAGCATATATTATGATAATATACAAATTGGCGAGTTATTCTTTGTCGCTAACATTTACCGAACATATTATTTTATTATTATTATAACGTTGAGCGCGTCGGGTGGGTTCTCTCTGTGTGGCACCACAGAGCGCCTTCTTTTTTACGAATGTAAACCAGATAAGAGCAGAATAATAAATTTATACTATATTACTTTCAATAATTTAATATAATCTTAATATATAATATTTATATTGTTTTCAATAATATAATAGCTATAGACAGGAACGGATCCTGGTGTAAGTATGTAATGTATACAACTATTAACAAACAAAAATAAATAAAAAACAAAAGTATTTCACCATAGTTTTAAATGTCTTTGACACTTTGTGTATTAAAAATTTTTGAAATCCTGCAAGACGTGCAATAAATGCATAAATATTCCTTATACCCCCCTTCTCTCCTGGATACGTCACTGGTGATAGTCATAACTCATGATATTATATTGAACCTTGAAGTTAAAATTCCCATTGAAATAATACAAAAACAATAAATAATAATATACAGAATAAAAATTATTTTATATATTATATTATAATAAATTAATAATTTACGATTTGATGACGAATAATTCATTTTGAGAACTAAAACAGTTATGTATTTTATTTGTACCTGTTATGCAGTGTTAATTGTAGCGTTACAATCATTAACACTTCCAAGAACCTTTCAATTTTTTTTAGGACCATATATCCGTATTGCAAACTTAAAATATTGTTTGGCCCGGCTCTATTGTTGTTAGAGATGCATTTCAACCCTTAATAATCGTTCCCCAAAACGTTGACATGGTTGCATTTTTTTAAAAGTCTTATATAGTTTGCCCATGTCACTTTACTCGGCGTATGTGTATAATATAGAATTAGCATTAGACTATATTATAATAATATTATATAAATATTTTTTTGATATAATATGATAAATCGCTGCGTCTAGTAGATATTTTTATAAGTACAATATTGTTGACCGAAAAATCGTTAAGCTTGAGAACTTCTTTCGTCGGATTATAATAATAATTCGTCGTCATATAAACACTGCAGCAGGTACAATAATGACTGTTGAAAATGTTTACAAACTCGCGGAGGAATAAACGATAGTCGTCGTCCGGTCATCGATCGGCTCGTATGCAATATCCCGCGGATCAACGAGGGACGGCCGCTTCCCCTGCAGCCACGAACAACGCCTGCAGCAGTAGCGGCCACGTGACCGGTCCACCGGCGACGGCGGCGTTGCAATAGCTGCGTTTGCACAGACACACCTTGGACGTGGAGTTCAGCTCCGGGTTGGTCACGTGGAAGCAACCGGCCCGGTTGATGCCGGTTGGACCTGAACACCCGCGGACCGACAGCATGCCGGTGATCACGTTCACGCACCACGCGGACAGACTGGAAGGACAGTGGAACACGTACTGCCGGCGCTGTCGTTCGTTGGCGTACGACCAGAACGCACCACCGTCCGTGCGCCGGTCGCTGTAGCACACCAGCCCTCCGCTCTTGTATTTCGGATACATGACCGTCCGACCACCATCGGCGGCCACGGCGGCCGCTAGCAGGAGCACCGCAATGGCAGCCGTCAACGACATGGCCACTGCAGCTGCCACCGCTGTGTCGCTCGACGCACGAGACACAAAACGCGTAGTAATAATATTATATGGCTACGGCTGAAGAATGCAATTATTGCGTTATTGTACTATTATTATAATAATATTTCGTTGTCGACTTGCGGGGTTGCTATGTATAGTGTTTTTTTTTTTGTTTGTTTGTGTTTTCGAACGCATACTATTATCACCACGCCACAGGGTGACTGTCCGTTATAACAATCGGATATTTTTTTGTGTGCAGTTATAAAAGTTTTTTACACAAAACTTTCAAATAAAATAATAATAATATTATAGTAGAGCTTACAATTAATTACTAGTAGCATTATATTATATAGTCGTTACCTAATGATTTTTATTTCATAATTATTACAAGTATAAAAACACAAAAAAAATTCCTGAAGACCCTGCTTAAACCGAAAATTCGATATGCGTGACCGATTTTTCTGTGTAAATATCTAGACGTTATCTTACTTGTAGGTAATAGTCGTATATGTGATCTATTTATGGAAAAAAGGAAAATTATTTCTTATAATATCACAACGTGTTACTGTGTTAGTATGTTGTCAACTTCTCATAATAATGTTTATAATATAATATTGTATGATGTACCTACCTATATACCGGGCTATACATATTACATAATATATTGAGTAATTGCAAGTACTTATCTATCTTACAAACGTTATCAACTTCTTTTTAAATATTGTTAAAAATACATTTTAATCACACACGATCGTAAGATATTTAAGACTGCTAACGTGAGGTCACCTGAATGTAAGGTGATACATTTTATGTACGGCTTGGTGGTGCAGTGATATAACAAACATGTACCCAAATTTGTTTTGCAATAGTTATTTTTAAACCAGTTTTTTTGTAAATTTTCCCGCAGGCAACATTTGTAGGGGTTATATATTGTTAGGTATATATTTTAATGCTTCATAATTTTACATTTAAAACGACAAATTAATATTTTATATTTTTATTTAATGATAATTCGTTTTTCGTTTTATTTATAGCTGTTTTATTTTAGCTCTTATATAGTTTAGAAAAATAGGTCAGAAATGTGTACACAAAAAAAAGCAATACGAAAGCATTTATTGACCCGGAGGTAGTAAATAAATATATGTATATTGTATACATAAGACAACTCAAACCTAAATACTGCTTACGGATTATGTTTTTCGGCATAAAAACTCTGCTATTATAATATGCACCCACGGTGAAACATTGTTAATCGCTCTAAGGGAAATTTCAAATTTAGTACTTATACATATAAGCGATTGATAAAACTGAAAATAATTCATTACCTCGGGAATGCCATTTTATCGAGCGATCATATAAACAAGTTTGTGTCGATTTTCTATTACAAAAAAATGTATATACTTAATATTATTATTATATTTAGTTTCAGTTGTTTAATAAATCGATTAAAGATGTGTAGGTATCTACCTACAGAAAACATCAACGTTATGATGTATGGAAGGTCCCAAATTGTTGTATCCGTGCGAATTCATTGTCGGGAAATTGGAAATATTTGAAAAAAAACTTCTCTAACTGGGTCTCTTTGTCGGCGAATTTGGCGTAATCTGTTTCCCTATCGAGTTATGACCAGCTCTTTCGCCATACCACGGAACTTAATCCCTCCGCCCAGTCGTAATGCGTATACGGTAATAATATTATATATAAAAATTATATTATAAAAACTACTGCTAACACATAAAATTATTTCTCGTCACACACTGTACTACGCTTCATAATATACGTATTCTGCAACTGTATAGTTGTTAGTAGATAATATGTTAAAATACGATTTTTTTTTTTATTTGATTCCGTATTATATACTAGTATTATACCGTATATAGAACCTTGGAGCAGTACCTTAAATTATCGGACATTGAACACAGGTTAAAAAATTATTGTATATTATGACCAATTTTAAAATGGTTTGATAATGTCAGAACACATTGTAAAAACCATAATAGTACCTACAAGAATTATTTTAGAGTAATTGAATATTTAAAGTTATGCAAATCTTGATATATAAACTATAAAGTGACAAGAAATGTAGTAACAATTCATAGTAAATTATATTCTTAAATATCAAATTAACTTTCTAATAATATTTCTGTATAAAATAATTTTATACTAAGTGTATAATACTTCGTATAATACGATTTCATACCATTGTACCATATAAACTAGCATCTCTATTTGTAAGGCATCTGCAGGATAAACGTCCCACGATCGTCAAATATTATACTGCGAACGTATTTTTGTTCGCAATTAGACACGTCGACGCCTAATTATGTCTTACACTCATTATCACTTATATCATAGTGCTTAACCCAAGCTCCGTGACGCATGCGCAAGACATGTATGGCGTGCAGTTTTTATATTATTATGAATGAAGTGTAACTTGGGAATAGGACGGATATCTAAAAACCTCTCTGCAGCAATGTCCGCGTGCGCCATTTTTAAGAGGCAATTAATAACCATATCGTAATTTGTATATAATATCGATTCGGTATCTTAAATTATTTTTATTATGCTGTCCTCGTATTATATAATATAATATTGGCCATTAGAGTCCCACGATACCATTCGCGGACGCGTTAGAATTTCTATTTCGTAGAACACGTAAAAATCCTAACGAAAAATACCTAATAAATAAATGTCTATAATATTATAATGTCCTCACTAATAACGCATACATATTTAGTAAAAGTTGTTCAGATAATATACGTTTATAATAATATTATGCTTTCCAGGCAATGAAGCAATCATTTTAGTATCTTCTATCATCTGTCGATTTATGCAATTTAGATATATAACATTATAAATTATAATATATTATAATGCGGCTCGTGTCGTTTTTAAATTGATAATTTTACAATTTATATATGTACAGTTTCTCGAGTGGCACATATATATTAATATACGATTTATTGCATTTACATTTGCATAAACGCTGTGTATAAATTGGAACGGACGAGTCTTTACGAGTTTTAAATACTCGTGTGTTATAACGTTATTAAAACTATTACAAATTGATATATTTATGAGTTTTATTCGTGAAAAACGAACTATTTTTATGCATTCAATTTATAATCAAAATGTATTAAGCGGTATTCGGTATATGGACCATGAACATATAATATTTATAATAATAATACGTATTTGTTTATTAAAAATGTTATGTTCAGTTTTTGTTTTTTTGTTTTTAATTATGCGTAGTCCACACCGTCGACCATATCGTTAAAATATGCGTGCCAATATAAATGTTCGAAGAAATGTTTTCATACGATAAATGATTAATTAGTCGTTTTTCAATTAAAAATATTGCCACACCGAACACCCGATGTAGGCATTCCATCAATATTATTATTAATCGTCAAAATCGGTATTGTGCAACGGAATTGCGTTATACGAATATTTATGCGTCTGAACGTTTTTTAAACTCCATTGTATACGTCATGAATACGTCATAATATTTAATATAATAATGTATTCGTATTATATATATAGCCTTACCCCGGGGCCCGGGCCATCGTTCGCATATAATAACGAAAACTTATACACATTTTGAATATTTAGATTTATCACAGAACGTGTCGGGTTCGTGCGAGCAGAATAATTCTATTCATCCTAAACAAATATAAGCGTCCCTTGGTAGAAAAAAAATACAAAAAAATTCCAAAAGCCTGAACATAATAATAATAGTAATAATAATACCTATACCGATAACAATTTGTGCAACGTTTCGAATTTCTTTTGTTTTCTCAGGTGTTTTCGAGTGTACAACAACAATCGTGGTTACCTACCTATATATTTTTTGTCTGTCTCTCCCATTGATATATTATTATGTTAAGTTATATTATAAGTTGATATATTTTATGGACGTATTTGTTATCATTATCGCCACGTGTGACAACTGACTGTCGCATTTCGGTATATACATGTACATAATATGACATAACCACATATAGGTGCATAATATACGTACTACGTATAGTGTACACCCAATGTGTTCGTCCCGAATACGACTGCCGCAGAGCGTTTATATTATTATAGTCGCGTATTGGTAAATATACCATAACCGTGGTTCATTAATCATTATAATGTTATTAAACCGGACAGTGTTTTTTATTCCCCAGTGTAGAACATATTTTTGGGTACCCTCTCGCCTCAGTGCCGTACATATAATGTCACCTCATGATTAATACACATACCCATAGTGATTTGCGATGTATTGATATGATGTTATACAAAAAACGAGAAAACACCGGTATTTTACCTAGACATCTTTAGTGTGATAAAAACCACCGAGTTAGGTATTCAAATCGCAGCGTGTTCGGTGCCACTAAACATCTCACATAATATTATACGGATGTGGGTGCTAGCATATTATTATTATTTTATACTTACTGAAAAATGCACAGTTGACCGGGTGGTCGTGACTCATTGTCCATAGATCATTTTATCGCGTTTTCATTTTACCCGGTCTATATTCACGTATAAGTGTATAACATAATAATTATTATATTATTATATTGTACTGGATTTTTGGTTTTGCATCTAATACGCACTGCGGTTGGTTGTACCGACTATGCAGACCGCAGTAAAAATATAATTTTCTCGAACAGTTGTCCATCTACATAATATATTTATGTATGCACTGTCCATACGTATGTTGCGACTGAGTGGTGTTAAAATGGTTGGATGTTAGAAAAAAAATAAAAATAAAACAATGTCTATATTCTACAATAATATATTCTAGAATATGTTAATCGACCTAAGGTTATTGCTTATCGGAGTGAGAAATTGTATTCGAACAGCTCTGTCCGAATTTGTTTTTGTAGTCTAGTTATATACATATGAATACATATTAATAACGATTAAATGTTTTTAAATAGACTTTACGAGAGCTTGTTACTTCTGCAATAATTTAATAATTTACTATTGAATTTGTGATGTAGATTTAT